CCTTCCTAACGAGTAGAAAGTGTGTCTACAGGCCATTTTGCTAAGTTTGGGTTCTAATTTTTGGGTATTTCTTCCTAGATTTGTCTTGAGACTGGGCTTAAGTCGTTAATTGAAGAGATGCTTTCACGAACGAAGATGTAGTGGCTTGAGGAGCTCTTTATAAGCTTTGAGCTTTGGTTCTCTAAATGATTTCATGGCTAGTCTTGATCATGAAATTTTATTTTGGTCCTATTGGAGTGAGGGAAGAAACGCCATATCTGCATTCTCTAAATGACAACGGATAGAGCCGTTAAAGAGTAGGTCAATAGCTTCTATGTCAAACCGACCAAAAATGCGCTTTAATGGTACTAACTTAAGAGTCGCTCGATACACATTTTCGACTCAGATAGCGTAAGACTAGATCGTAAGGTTTCAAGATTCCTAGGTATTTTCAACCTAGAACACCTCTACAGAATAGTTACCAAATTTATTTTCATAGTGTACAGCATGTTATATGTGGAATATTTGCACTTTCGAGTGTTAAGAGTGAGTCCATTGTTATTCACCCAACTTTGAGGTTGATCTTACTGATGAACCGGTTTTTCATCTTGCTGTAAACTTCCCTCTGACGTTCAAAATTGCCACCGGGAAGTAATCACTCAACAGATACTCGTCGATGGAGGTCATTTGTATAAACTAAACAGATAATTGGTCTAGACAGTTAATTTCTCCAAACCCTGGAGAAATTCCATTAGAAAATCTTATTTCTGCAAAGAATTTAGTTATACCCTGACGTTGAAAAATTGATTATATATGTAGGATGTCATACGGTCTTTTAGAGGAAGCTAGATACTTGGTAGTTTTTGCCTGTCGATGAGACATATTCAGTTTAGCAGAGTAAACCATGTCCAAGCCATGATACCTGTTCTTCATTAGGTGATGTAGTACTTAATAAACCGGACCAGCGCTTAGATTCATATCTGGGATTCCTCATAGGTGAGGCTCTCACTACTGCAGGTCACGTACAATGGTTAAAATGTTCAAAGGTACTTTTTTCTCAGAAGCTTGGCAACATCATTGCAGATTTAGCAAGGGCATTGTGACCTAACAACTGGGAAACTCCAAGTTTGGTTAGATGAAGAAAGGGTATATAACTAAATAGGTTCTTCGGATTGGAAACAAAGTTTCTATTTAGCTTGATCTGATATTGAAGCTTAACACATTTTTACATTGATTGTCTGTATATGCTGCCGTCAGTAAATCGTTTATATTCTTCCAGCTGTCTCCTCTGCACGATTTCACAGTGCACTCTTTCAAAAGAATTCTATTTAATGTTGACTATCTTAAGTTTTATTCACCTTATCTGTATCAAACAATATTTGTAAGAAAGGGCTACTTACTACGAAAGATGATGTACGTACTGTTTTTTAAATTTATGTTAGGATTCACCACCACAATTTACTATGAGGTCTGAAATATTAATTAAACTCGGTTCAGAGCTAACCTTCCAAATGAAACTTTTTCAAATCTACGACCTTTTCAGTACCGGACTATACTAAAGAAGAGACCATCTAAAGGTAGAACAACTTAGGAACATACGGAAGTAAATTCAGAGTCACAACCATACAACTCACTCGATAGTGAACTACAGACGACTGAATCAACATACAGACATGTGCTTTGGTTCAAATGGCATTGGTATGTCGTCCTTTGTCTATTCAAGGACGTTCCAGGATGACTAGTTGGATAATTGAGAAACTGAATGCCACTCCTATCTAAGCATAATTCTAAATGTTGCCTTTAATGAAAAACAGGGAACTAGTCAGAAAGTTTGGGAAAAAAGTGTGTTTAATTGTAGATGGAAGAAGGGAAAGTTTAGAATCTTAATCTCAATACCCAAAGGATGGAAATAATTTTACTTCTACTAGTGTTTTAAACCGGTAAATATTACCGCCAGCTGGTACTAACATGAGTAGGACAACATGTACTGGGAGAAAGGAACGAAAATGGCGAAAGATTTGCATACCTATGTGCCTTCAACAGACTGGTAATCGGTGGCACAATATTCCCCACACAAACGCATTCACAAAGCTACAGTGATTTCACCGGATCACACTACTCAGAACCAAATCGACCATATCTGTACCAACAAAAAGTTCAGAAGGACTATGGAGGATGTGAGAACCATGAGAATAGTTGCTATAGCCCCAAGTCACCATTTTCCGGCCGCCAAAACGAAACTGAAACTAAAGAAATACTGGACAACGGAGTGAACAACATCACAATAGTTTATTACGGTCTTTCGTCAGGATACTGGAAAGCTGAAAAAATTTAAGATAGCCCTCGGCAACAGGATCCAAGCCATACACGAACTTGGAGAACAATTGGAAAGGGATCGAGAAGGTAATCACTTCAATATGTCACGAGGTTCTAGGCCACAGGAAGTACCATCAAAAGGAATGGATCTCTGTTGGTCCTCTTGAAAAAATTGAAGAAAGGAGGAACAAGAAGGCAGCAATCAATACCAGCCGAACAAGAGCAGAAAAAGACAAGGCACGCTGCATACACTGAAGCAAACAAGCATGTCACGAGGAGCATCAAGGCCGATAAATGTAGAAAAATGTAGAAAAGGCTTCAAGAAAAGGAAACATGAAACGATTCTACGATGCAAAATGAGGCTCGCTGGAAACTATCGTAAACCAGAATGACGAGTGAAAAGCAAGGATGGCAAAGTAATCAGCAACACTGAAGAACAGCGAAATAGGTGGGTCGAGCTCTTTAAGGAACCCCTGAAGCGACCAGCTCCACTAAACCTACACAACACCGAGGTGGCACAAAAGGACCTCCTAATCGATGTTGGACTGCCAAAAATTGAGGAGATTTGGGTGGCCATCAGACAAATGAAGAGCGGCAAAGCAGCAGGACCAGACAACATTTCAGCAAAAGCAATGAAAGCAGACGTGGCAGAAATTGTAAAAATATTTCGCATTCTCTTCGACAGTATTTGGGATGAGGAATAAGTATCAACAGATTGGGAAGAAGGATACCTCATCGAAATACCGAAGAAAGGCGATTTCAACAAGTGTGAGAAATAAAGAGGCATCAATGTTCTCTCAATATAAGACGAAGTCTTCAACAGTGTGTTGTTAAACAGAATGAAGGACTTTGTAGACGCCCAACTTTGAGATCAACGGACTGGATTTCGTAAGGATCGATCGTGTATTGACCCAATCGCAATATTACGGATCATTGCGGAACAACCAATTGAATGGAACTCACCAATGGACATCAACTTCATTGACTACGAGGAAGTAATTATTAGCGTGGACAGGAAACACTATGCAGGCTTCTTCGACGATACGGTGTGCCGGAGAAGGTATTCAACGTAATACAGAACTCTGATGATAGATGAAATCGCAAAATCGTTCACGAAGGACAGCTGACATACTTGTTCGAGGAGAAGACTGGTGGAGAAAAATTGCAGCTCATTTGGATGATTGTGGTGGTGTTTCGTTCTTTGAGCTGAATATTTTGGTTGTGGAGCTTTCATTGATATTCTGAACAACATCGTCAGCACGAACTTCAGATAGAAGTGAAGTATTCGAATTTTTCAATGTTTGACCTGTAGCTTATTCTGCTAACCTCGATCTTCATTTGTTGTTGACCTTAAACCTGTCGTTGTTTGGACCTTTGTTTTGCTTGTTTCCCCTTTTGATCAGTTTCTTGATCCTATGTTTGCCTATGATTTTTCTGATTTGTAGATAAGTTCGGTCAGTTTCATGTGTCAGGCAAGGTTGCTTACTCTCACCCTTTCTCTTTCTCCTTGTGATTGACTGGATTATCAAGGCGTCAACATATGGAGGAAAACACCGTATCCGATCGACAGCCAGGATGGAGCTGGACGATTCGGACCTCGTAGATCATCTGGCTCTTCTATTACACACGAAACAACAAATGCAGGAGAAGTCGACCAGTGTAGTTACAGGTCTAAACATACATAAAGGGAAAAGCAAGATTCTCTGATACACAACATGCGCCAACCAAATCAATCTTGATGGAGAAGCCTTGAATGAAGTTCAAAACCTCTACATATATGAACAGCATTATCGACCATCAAGGTGAATCTGATGAAGATGTGAAGGTAGGGATCGGCTCGGCAAGGACTGTGTATCTACAACTGAAGAACATCTGGAACTCAAAACAAATGTCAACCAACGCAAAAATCAGAACTTTCAATATTATGTCAAGACAGTTCTGCTGCATCGAGCGGAAACTTGGTGAACTACCAAGCCATCATCCACAAGATATAGTTGTTTATTAACTGTTGCCTAGAGAAGATACTGAGGATCCGTTCACCAGATACCATCAACAGCAACCTACTGTGAGAGGGAATAAACCAGATTTTAGTGGAGGAGGAGACCGGGGAGAAGCGGTGGAAGTGGATAGGAAACACACTGCCCAAAGTAACCAACTGCTCCGCAAGACAAGCCGCTACCCGACACCGACAAGGTCAAATGCAGGGGCGAAGACCAAGGAACATGTTACGTCGAGAAATGGAGACAGACATAAGAAGAATAAACAAAAAATTGGACAGAACTTGAAAGGGAGGCTGGGGACGGGGTAGGTTAGAGAATACTGTTCAACGACCTATGTTCCATTTCATTGCTGGACGCCTACCATAAGTATAATTATTTCTAGAGAATCACATATTTAAACAGAAGAGATAGATCTATGAAACGAAGAAAATTTCCTACCAATGACTCCTGGGGTTTTGCTAAATATTAATGTGTGATGGTTAATAACTGAATATAGGCAAACTAACTCACTATGAAGTATCGATTCTTTAAGCTTAAGAGCTGTTTATAAGTGCTATTATCATTGCCTTTCGATTAAATATTGACTTTTTTAGACAGTTACTTAGATAGTTTACATGCTAGCAGAATGAGTGTGTTATAATGCGTCAACATTGATTCACTTTCTTGGACAAAATGATAGTGGCAATATAAATGTGAATAAAAATTGCGAGTAGTTGCTTCTCAAACGAAGTTGAGACTTGTGATTCTCTCAAAGACATGCTTCAAAGTAGGACAAAAAATCTATATCATGAGCTTTTGAAGTTCGTTCAAGCAGCATTATTGTGAATGCGAAACAGTTAAATAGTTGGAATAATTTATTGCAAATTACATTTACGAGTTATGATCAAAAAGCTAAGAAATATTGCTGTCAAACTAGGAATTAAACGTCCTCCTCAGCCTGCACAGAGATTTATACCTGTAGGCCCGAAATCCAAAGAGTGTTTCCCAATTGAAGGATATCCCTTGAGAAAACTTTATGGAAGGAATAAAGTTACAACAACAAAATATACATGGTATAGCTTCTTTTTTCAAAATCTCGGAGAGCAAGCTCAAAGAGTCGCAAATTTTTATTTTATCAGCCTGGCAATTATCCAACTGTTTACAGACTCTCCAGTATCTCCTACTACGTCAGTAATTCCATTATTTTTTGTGCTCTCGGTGACTATGATCAAACAAGGCTATGAAGATTTTTTGAGGTTAAAAGCAGATAGAGAGATAAATCATATTCCTATTGAAATAGTCACCGAAAATGGTCACTTAGAGACAGTAAAATCTATGGAACTTGAAGTTGGAAACATAATCTTATGCAGGAATAATTCTTCATTTCCTTGTGATATGATATTGTTAAGTTCAAGTGAACCTAGTGGTGAATGTTTTGTTACAACTGCAAGTTTAGACGGTGAAACAAATTTAAAAAAATTTGAAGTAGCTGGTCATACAAATACATTTGATACACCAGCATCACTTGCTTCCGAACTAAAAGGTTATATATACTGTCAACAACCGGTAGAAGATTTGTATACTTTCAGTGGCCGTATTTGTTTAAAGAACTCAAGTGAAGATTTGACTACTAAAGATTATCCACTTGGACCTAAAAATTTACTTTTGAGAGGAGCATGTCTTCGTAATACTGATTATATTTATGGTTGTGCTGTCTACACAGGTCGTGATACAAAATTAGCACTTAATTCAAAAGGCAAAATTACAAAATTTTCTCAAGTTGAAGGAAGATTAAATTTTTATTTGTTCTTTATTTTGGGATTTCTGGGTTTCTGTGTACTTGTCTCCATTATACTAAGTTCAGTATTGGGACATCCTAATGCTTGGTATCTTCCACCAGAACGAAGGAATGTTTGGAGTGTTTTTCAAGAACTGTTAGGATTTGTTGTCTTATACAATTATATCATTCCAATTTCTTTATATGTTACAATAGAAATGCAAAAATTTATTGGTTCTTTATTTTTTGAATGGGATTTAAATTTATATGATGAGAGAATAAATGAAAGAGCTAAAGCGAATACTTCGGATTTAATTGAAGAAATGGGTCAGGTAAGCAACTTCATTTTCAGCGCGTGAATTATGTTTATTTTATGATACTTGAATGTTACAAATGGTAGCTAGTTTGAATATCACTCACTGAACTCCTAATATCTTATACCAACATCAATTATAGTGATAGTAAGGAAAAATTCTGTGTAACAATAATTTGAAATTTGTTTTTTTTCTAAGAACGGTTCAATTTAACAATAGACTATTAAGCAGATATCTTGTTTTATATTTCAGTCTCATTTTAGAAAAGACAGAGGGTTGAGTGCCATCTGTTAGTTTTAGCAATGGTGGTCTCTCATTTGATCCAATTTTCTTTTGAATATACACTGATAAATGGTGCTTTAATTATCTGTAGACGTATCAAGTTCCATACGTTCATGATTCGATGTAAAAGTCTTGCGTCAGCTAACAGGTAGGCTAGGCTTGTGAAACTGTTTATTGTCCTATGAGATAAATTTGAGTAATGGGATATAACTTGATTTGAAATGGATATTTTTTATGTTCTGTTTGTCTACTTCTATTTTTATTTCAAGACGAAAATAACTCCTCACTAATAAATAATTATTCGCTTAGAAGTGACTTTATTAGATATAATAAAATTCAAAATGATAATTTCTGGTATCAAGGTTTTTTTCTTTTCTTTAAGTCGACATGTATATACTAAGCTGAAAAAGTCATATATTTTAATTTCTTAATTTTAGTGGGTTGATCATGATCAAATTATTTTTTTCTCATAATCATTGAGGTTAATCTTAACTTGAATTGTGGATAGGTTAAATTAATGATGGGCAAGACTGATCAGTTATCAGTCATTACGTTAAAATGATGAAGATATATATATATGTATATATATATATATATATATATATATATATATATATATATATATATAGCTCAACCATATTAGAACAAAGAGATCGGATTGGGTAAGTTTTAGCTGTAATGGAGAAGATTAGGGTTCGAAGATATTATTCAAGAAATATAATCCGATGAAATAAATTTAGAAAGACAAAGTTAAAGGTGTTGAAGAATCCAGAAGTTTAAGATTTGGGAAAACACTGTGAATGGATGCACCTGCACCATTGCAAACGATTTTGAGCCATGTCATTCCAGGTCTCTAACCATCGGTGACTTTCGCCTCGCGGACCCCGACCAGGTAGCCTATATCTACCAACATGACTCAGTCCACTTGTCTTCAGTGACTTCATGGATTTGTGCCATGTTTTGGTTTGACCTCCCCTAGCTTTCTTCCAACCTACTCCTACACCATAAAACATAGCTTGACTAAGCATTTGCTGGCTTGGCATTCGTTTTTCTTTAATTTTTTTTAAAGATGTAAGTGAATCAAAAAGAAATCTACACATCATCAGTTTTAACCAATAATGTAAGTTTCTACATAATACACATAAAATACAACTACTATAATTGAATAGTTTAATCATAATAATATTAATAATAATAATAATAATAGTAACCCGTTTTATTCTAGTTTCTTCTTTTTTTAATTGTCAGTAAAAAAAATAAAATATCTCTTTATTTTTATTGTTGTTGTTGAGATAATCAAAGTTTGAACTTAAACAATAATAATAATAAGATCATTGTAATGGGGTCTAACAAACAATTAAATATGAAATTAAAATTTGTGTTTTTCTTTTTCTCAACTTTATAGTAGTTCATTTCTTCTTAGTGTATATTATTCAAAGGAAAAACTATTCACTGGAACTTTCTTAATGAAATTAAATGAAACTATATCATACAATATTATTTACAAATGCCGCTGCTGTACAAGTGATTCAATAACTATATGAGTCAGTCAGTCAGTCAGATGCAACCGGAGAGGTTAGGATTAGAAGATATTATTCAAGAAGTATGATTTAATGAGAAAAGTTTAGAAAGGCGAAACTAGAGGTGTTGAAGAATCCAGAAGATTAGGATTTGAGAGAACACAAAGAATAAATGCACCGGCGCCATTGCGAACGATTTTGAGCCATGACATTCAAGGTCTCTAACCATCGAGTATTATTATCTCGTGGACCCCAATCCGGTAGTCGACAATTACCGACATGGCTAAGTTCACTTGTTAATTACTTTATAGATTTCTGCCATGTTTTGGTTTGGCCGCCCCTAACTTTCTTCCAACCTATTCCTACACTGCAAAACAAAGCTCGTCGAGGCAGTCGGTGGTTGGGCATACGCAGCACATGTCCCAACCACCTCAACTGATGAAGTTTCACTACTTCGTCTATTGATCTGCCATTCTTACCTAGCACCCGTTTCCTAATAACAGCGTTGCTCACTCGGGTATCCCAGGATATACGAGCAATGCTTCGGAGACATCGATGATCGAAAACCAGTAACCTACGAATATCTTCTACTCTCACTGGCCATGTTTCACAGCCATAAAGTAAGACGGAGCGAACCACTGCGCAGTACACTCGTCCTTTAGTCAGCAAACGGATATCTCGCCTACGCCATAAGTGACGCAGGTTGGCAAAAGTCAATCGAGCCTTCTGTATCCGAGCTGAGATTTCGTCAGTCACCAGGCCATCAGCACTGATGAGACCCCCAAGATAAGTGAAGCGGTCTACACGTTCGACTACTTCACTCCCTATCACTAGTTCAGGTGCGGATGAAACCCAATCTTGAAGCAATATTTTCCATTTAGACGGGGAAAACCGCATCCCGAACATGCTTGCATTGTTGCTTAGGGTAGTCAGAAGACTCTGCATTTTGTTAGCGTCTTCACCAAGTAGGACTATGTCATCGGCATATTCTAAGTCAATAAGCGAGCCACCTGGTAGAAGGTCTACTCCTGAAAATTCAGACGAGGATAAGGTTATGTCTAGGAGCATGTCTATGATAAAATTAAACAAGAATGGAGAAAGTGGACATCCCTGACGAACACCACTTGAAGTAAAGAATTCCGGTGACAGTTCGCCATAAGCTCTCACTCGACCAGTGGTGTTTGAGTAGAGAGCTTGTATGAGGTTAATGTACTTCTTTGGTACACCTTTCAATGACAGACACTGCCACAGAACCTCACGATCCACTGAGTCAAATGCCGCTTTTAGGTCCAGGAAAACAACTATTGTAGGACGCCTAAATACGTGTCTGTGTTCCAGGACCTGTCGTAGTGGGAAAATGTGATCTACGCAACCACGTCCAGGTCGAAAACCAGATTGGTTTTCTCGAGTTTGCTCTTCACGAGCTCTCGTTAAGCGTCGAAGTATTATTGAGGCCGATATTTTAGATACTATATTAGTTAGACTTATTATAGTAACTATATAGTAACTATATGAATCTATAGAGTAATGAAAATCATCATTACACCACCAGCAAATAGAAACGTGACAGCACTGAAAGAACATCGTTTCGTCCTGCTATCAGTAACAGTGCGCATCCATGACTCCCACCAGGCACAAAATTCGAACTAAGCACCTTCGGTCTTGAGCGTGAACGCTTTACCTATGGACCTCTAAAGGTGTTAATTTCTAGCTTTGATTAATCTAGGTAACTGCCTGCATTGGATAGGGTTGAATTCTACTGGTCACATCTTCTCACTAGAAATCCGAGAAAATTCCTCACAAAAGTAATCACTAGTGAGCACATTTTTTTTAAAGATTCAAACATTAAAAAATTTTTTGAAAATTTCACTTATGAAAGGATAGTTTTATAGTAATTTAGAGGTTAACAAGACATTTTAAGATGGAAATAATTTAAGGATTGAAAATAAAACCGGAAAATTGATTATTTAACAGTCGATGAACAAAAAAAAAATAAAATTGTAAACGTTTTAGTTATAGTTAAATAATAATTATGAAACAATGACAAAAACATAGTTAAAAACTTGTCACACGTTGTTTCTTCTGTACAGAGTTCAAGTAGAAAAAAAGGATTCTCCAAGCCTCAGATGTATGCAAAAGCTTCAGATATGACTTGTTTTATGTTTTTTGATATGATTATTTTCAATTAAAGTTATGGAGATTAGTGTTTTTACATATTTGAAATCATCAATCAATCATTGTTAGGCCACATTATTAAAATCCTTGAAGCACTTGACGGCCGTTTCGTCCTAGTATGCGGATTATCAGCGGCAGTGCTCATCGACGATTCCTGCATTTCTCAGGATTCGAACCCAGGAACCTTTTGTATTGTGCCCACCAGCGACTAGCTTCGTGAGGAAATTCTCGGAGTTCTAGTGACAAAACATGACCACTGGAGTTCAACTCTGTCGGGTGTAGGCAGTAACTACCAAAGACAAATTGGCAAGGTCGCGCATAATCCCTAGATCAATCAGAATTAGACATTAACCTCGTTGGATGCCGGCTCAGTGATCCAAAAGATAGGCGTTCGCGCACAATACCAAATGTCCTGGGTTCGAATGCTGCGAGATGCAGGAGTCGTGAATGCGCACTACCGCTGATGAATCCCATACCAGGACGAAACGGCCACTCAGTGCTTCGAAATATGATTATTATTTTGATCACAAAGTTTATTATTAGGAAAAAATCATTTTGATATCCACAATGTACCTTACAGTTGATGAGATGTTCCTGTTGTATTGAATTGAGTATAAAGAGTTTTATTTCTTCATAAAGATTTCATAGATGTCAAGAATTTCTCACTGTAATTTTATTTGTCAAGTTACATTTATAGTTATGATGAATATTGTCTATAGATGTCTTTAGAGTATGTAATACGCGTAACTTTAAATGATGATAAGTGAACTAGATTTCTGTTCTCTATTGGCTTTGGAAATTCTAGTAGTATGATGATGATTTTGGTGTTAGGTTTACTCATGAATGAACTTTTTAAGAAATATCATACGATTATGTACTAAGATTAATTAAAGATTATAATCCCTACTGACTGATAAGATTATTGTTTTTTTCTATACAAAGTGCGAAATTTTTTATTTAGATAAAAAGAAAAAAGTATTTGAAAATCTATTTTCCGTTATTTATTAATAGATTGACTATAGATTGTTTTTGGTTTGTATT